TTACAAATACATAGTTTATTAAAATGCACTATAGAAGAGAAATACATATACAACTCATAGATACTCATACCTCATGCCAATCTTGTAAAATTACTAAATAAAACTTTTCTTCTTTTCTGAATACTTACTGTTTACATTTTGTAATTACTAGATATAGTCCTACACAAGACTGTTGTTTAGAGATCAGTCATTTCTAACTGCAGCAGTTTCAAATGAATCATTATGCATTGCAATTTTTAAAATTTCTTTTCAATGCAGTAAATTACATACCACAACTTCCCTGGTTTGAAACATGTTGAAATATAATGAACCATGGCAGAAAAAAGGCAGGCTGAGGAGGTAGAAATTGTTTCAATGACAGAATGGGAAGAGGAAAAGCAGGGCTTGGAGTGCAGACAGACATATCATCTCATGGACAGTTATCAAAGTTTCCTCATGCATAGTGATGCATGCCTGTAATTCCAGTTACTTGGAAAACTAAGGTGGGAGGATCACAAGTTCAAGACTAGCTTGGGCACCACAGTGAGATCCTGTTTCAAAATTAAAAAAAAATAAAAATGGCTGGGAAGTAGCTCAACACTCCTGGATTCAATTTCCAATACAACAAAAACAGAACAAACATACTGTTGTTATTTGATTAATAATCACCACATTAAAACAAGTCTACTCAATATCAGTTTATCTTTTCTCTATGACAGAACAGATCAAAGATTTCCAATTTTTTTTCACAAAACATCATATTTTTCAGTCAAATCTCATGCCAAATTTTGAAACACTAAACTTGTGAAATCACAGCTATGCTACTAGAAGCTGCCCTGTCTTCCTCTTCCAGCCCTCTCCCACTCCAGTTGACTCCCCCAACTGCTATAGAATTTAAAGCCAGGCTGAACACATTTTCCAAACCACTGACTTCAAATTTGCAAGAATCTGTCACTTAAATTATGGATATTTCAATAAAAGTCAAAGAGTTCTTTCTTGCCTACTTGCCTCCCCCACTTCCAATAGTCTCTCATTACTTTGAAAAATAAAATTGCCTACTGGAAATTTTTTCTTTTTTATTAGTGCATATTAATTCTGGAGAATAATGGGTTTCATTGTAATAATTTCAAACATGCATGTAACATACTTCTTCCTTTTTTAAAAAAAGTATGATGGTTGATTAAGCTTTGAGTCAATTTTCTTTGTGCTCAGCAGCAGACACAAATATCTTCAAACTATCCTAAACAAAATGACTCTTAGGAAATTTTATTTTTAACTAGTGCTCATCAGTTTATGAAGTGCCTACATTAAAAAGGATTCTACATACCTTGGGTTAATTAATGTCTCTCATGCTAAGAGGAGGACCCTTCATCAAAGTCATGTGACAAACAAAAAGTATAATCAGAAACAGGGATATTTTCTGGCTTCTAACAATGTTCCATTCATCAGATCAGACTTACTTTTTTTATTAACCATGAAAGAAACCATGACAAATGGGGAATCCTTTCCAAACCAATTTTTTTTACATCCCAAATGATATTGCCATAAACCCTGAAATATTTTCTCTTTTTACAGAACTAAGCAAGGACCAGTTTTCTAGAAACCATGGCCAGATGTGTATGTGTATATAAGCAGAGCAAACATATTTATTTTCTGTATATTTGAATTTTTGTCTTTTTGTAAAAAAAAAAAAAAGTCTATTCTTTGTAATGGAACTGAGTATTTTTCGTGGAATATTTTAACTTCATTATATGTAGTATTACTACTCGTGCATTTAACCCCAAGTTAAGTCAGGAAAATCCTCAAGATCACTTTTTAAAACAAAAATAGATTTTTCAGTATTTTTTTGATTATAAAAATGTTTGTTAAATTCATGAAAATACAAATTTAAGAACCACAGTGAGAAAATAAAATCATTCATAGTCCTCTATTTAGAAATAAATTGATTAATATTTTTCATGTATTTAATATACTTATAACCTTATATACTATTGAAAAGCCCCTTAGTGAATATTGCAAAGGTTTTATTTGTGATAATAAGAGTAAGCAACACTTATGGGTTACTTTAGTTGTAACTATTGTATGGATGTTCAATAGTTATTTTTAATTTTATATTAATGGAACTTAGAACATTTCTTTCTTTTTATGAAAAGAAAGGGCAGGGTTTACAGGGTGTGCAGGGTCTCACTTCATAGATCAGACTTGTAGTGATTCTCCTGTTTTCAGCCTCCCAAGCACAGGATCATAGGTGCGCACCATCATGACCAGTCTCAATTGTCATTTCAGTGCAATCCCAATGCCAGGCCAGCACGGCACACTGGGGAATGGAACCCCAGCTGCTGTGCTCTGCTGAAGCAGGAGCTTTAGTCTGCTGAACTATCTGGCTGGCTCCAGAACATTTCTTAGTACAATTCTTACTATTAAAGTTTAGCATTCCTAATCTAAAAATGTAGCATCTGAAATACTTCAAACCTCTGAAATTTATTTTCAACATGATGCAACAAGCAAAAAATTCAGTATCATTAAACATGTTTCATGCATAAAGTTATTTCAAATAGTGACTAAATTTATGCTCATGTACATGTATTAGCATACAAAACTAATACAACACATGAATGAATTTTAACTTCCATTATGTGTAGGCAAATAGTCTAAATTTTTTTAAATATAAAACACTTCTCATCTCAAGCATTTCAGATAAGATACCTACAACCTGTATGAACAATTTGATGATCAATACTCTTGGACTTAAAGGTGATATCAAAATATATAATAGGTTTAAGTATCAATCAATTAACCAATCATAATTTATGACAACTAGAAAATTTTTAAAAAGATAGAGCCATAACTTTAAATGTTTCAAATGACTGTATGTAGATACATTTTGTATTTTATAATTTTTGTATTTTTTATTATTTTATACTCATAAAAATTGAAATTATTGATTAGAAAAATATGCACTTTTAAGAGGGTTTTGAAATATACTCTGGAACTACTTCTCCAAGTAGTTTATGATCCATTTATATTCCCACCAGCCACAGTGTATAGGAGGACCCACTTCCCAAAAGTCTTGACAACCCCAAATGTTATTAGTGATGCAAAAAATCTGAACTAACCCCTGTGCAAAAGATAGCACGTGCTCTCAGATGTCTACTCCTATTTGCACTCACACACTTTGCTTGTGACTTTTTAGTCCCTACTGTTAGAAGACAAGATATCATTCTTTTGTGCTTGATTCTGAGATTTGGCCATGTCATTTTTTTTTTTAGCCAGTCAGATGTCAACATACATGGCACAAGCAGGAGGGTAAGAAACAATCACCAAGCTTTTGCCATTGCCCCAAGAAGGACATGCTTGGGGCAGCCCATGGGTCCCAAGGCGAGGCTGAAAGTGCATGAAATCCTAGAAGACACACTTGGAATGTAAGTGCCCTCCAAAAATTTCTCAGCCAAGCCCACCATAGAGAAAACAGGCTCTCATTTGCATATAGAAATAAAGGAAAGCCAGCTAAGGTCATCTTAAAGCAAGCAACCCTTAGACAACCAAAAGACCAGTAAACTAAGAATTATTGTTGTTTTAGCCATTGAGTTTGGGAAAGTTTGTTACCCAAAAATAAAATAAATCAGACTCGCATGGTAAACATCCTATTGTCTCCTGGGTGTAAGAAACTGAAAGAGTAAATAAAATGCAAAAGGTACAATATGTCCCGTGAAAGGGATAGCTACTGCTCAAAGAAAATAACAACTGGGATGCAGGAAAGGAGAAAAGAAGGAAGGGAAAATAAAAAAGCAAAACAAAACAAGATAACTGAGATAATGATACTATTATTTTCCATTAGTTCAGTGAAAGGAGCAGTGCTTGTACTATTTGATCAATTTTGCACGCCTATATCTTAAAATCTGAGTAACTACTTTGAAGATAGCAATATGCAATTTGATAACCATTGTTACTTTCCTACCATCTTGTTTTTAAATTCTGTATATTTTCTTGTCATTTTTCTCCCTTCAAGATAAAAAAGTTGGTGGTGGGTCAGCCAAATAGCTCAGCGGATTAAAGCACCTGCAAGCTGGCACAGGGGCTGGAGGTTGGATCCCCGGGCCTGCCATGCTGACCCCACTCCCAGGGCGCACTGAGATGGCAATTGAAACTGGGTGTGGTGGCGCAAGCCAATAATCCCAGATCTTGGGAGGCTGTAAACAGGCGGATCGCTATGAGTCC